TCATGGTTTACATTGCAGGCCATATAGAAACTGGTCAGGTATTGGCTTGCCGATTTTAAGACGATTTATTCCTTGGGGGAGGAAGTTGCCCTGTCTACAAAGACGTTATGATAACCCTCGATTTTGGCATTTGGCAATTAGCCGTTACATTTTGCCAGAAGGGCATTGACTGCTTACAAGACCGTGATGATGGCCATACACGTACGCAGATACACACGTAGCCGAACACACACACAATGACTCGCGGACGGTGGCGTGAGGCCACTAGTCTTAATGTAGGGCAGGAGAGCCAGAGAGTAAAGAGAGACATCGTTCAATCAGTACACCATAACGAAGGAAGTTGGATACTTTAACTTTTCTTGCTGAGCAAATAAAAGTCCCTTTTACATACTAATTTGAAAAGTAAGGCTATCTGGGGTCATTTGTCACCAACACACTTCGGCGGATTATGTTATTGTATTGTGTGCGTCCACCACCACATCACGCGTCACCTTCGTAAACGTCCTATTTTGTCTGAAACCGGATCTTAGCGCGAGCTTCCCGCACTCGCCCGCCATTTCAACAGCAGCGGGCAGGAATTATCTCACGATGGTAACGGAGTGCGTCAATATGGTAGTCGCTCTAGAACATACTCACTACTTTTGCTAAGAAGCCCTTCACACCTCCATATCTCTTTCCACGCGCGCGCCCTGCCGTTTCCCTTGCGCATGCAAACGAAATAAAATCATCCTCAAACAACATCATCTTGTTCACCTCCGGTACATCCTCGTCTCTTCTAGGTGCCCATTTCCGCGAGATTTTAGTTACCGCATGCAAGACACTACCAAATTCATTCCTTCCACATGTCTCATACTCCGAATCTGAGTCCGTGTCGTCATTGGTAGTATCGGCAGCTGACCACACAGGCAATGTCGGCAAGGGCCTTATCGCCTCTCCAGTTACGGCAAATGACACTTTACGAACGACGTCTTGCTTTGGTGGCCCCTCTGCTTGTTTTTCACAAGCAGACCAGATGCACTCTACATTCTCTGTGTCCTCCTTCGTGACTCTTCGTCGTGTCATCCACGGCGGTAAATTGGATTCTGTATCGCTCAGCGAAGGGCTGAGTACAGCACTGGCTTTCATACACGCAAACGACTTTTTTCGCGACATTTTGGTCGTGCCGACTCCATCCAGAATCCCTCCCTGTTGAGCCGACCATATCGGTGACTGCAGAGCATAAATATCTGTACCTGGACTGACTATTGCACTGGGCATGGCACAAAAAATCGAAAATTTCCTCCCTTTCACTGTTTTCGGCGTGAATAACCCCTTCTTCTTGCTCTTCCTCGTCGATACATTTTTTTTGAAAAGGGACTGGACACGAGGTAGAAGCGGTCTTGAACGACGCGGATTGAAACGGTTGGGTGTGGCACCGAAGAGACTGTAGTTGGCTTCCAGTCCTGCGCAGAGGTGGTCGAGAGCGTTACAGAGCGGCGATGTTGGTGGGAGGGCGAACGGTGTGGATGTGGCAGACAAGGCAAGGCGAGACAGTGATCCGCCGTCCAGGAGAGATAGTTGAAGGCGCGGTGTCTGGGCAAGTGAAAGCTTTGGTGTGTGCACACGGCGTGGATGTGGAAGTAGAGTCATTTCGGATAAGACGCGTCCACTGATTTTCTAGTTACTGCAGAAGGTAGGATGTAGGTTTCGGTGTCTTCGGTCGCTGCCCGGAAGTCTTGGTCTTATATAAACCTGGTAAGGCGATACTTTAACCCGAAAGTCTTTCCGAAAATCACTATTGTTAAAAAAAGGCCGCAACTGGATACGTGAACATTTTAGGGTACATTCTAGCAGCTACCTGGAGAAGTACGATGATTTAGCATACTGTGGGCAACTTGTTCACTCTCGACTGCTTTTCAGGTGATCAATCCCCGTTTCGGTGTCGTCAATAAGTGTACTTTTACTTTGCGAGCTTGCTTCACGCTACCATTGGGTAAAATCTTCGGCATTCCGACAGTTGTTGGAAGCGCTGGCATCAAGAAAACCATATCCTCGATGCTGAAGAAAGAATTATCTTTATTGTAAATAGCTGTCGCCATATCAAGAGGCATCTCTCCACATGAACCAAATTAATCTCCCAACAAGATTGCTTACACGTAGCCACTGCAACAGTTTAAGGTCATCGTAAATTGAACTCAATGGGTTCAAATGCTCGTTTCGACAATGTACCGTTCTGCTCAATGTCTGTATACTCAATTTGCATCATTTTTTGTTGTTCTTTTTCAAGTTCATTCGACATTCTTTGCATATGTGACTCCCTCCTCTGGGTGCTTAATAGACCCTATTGCCAACTCCTTATATTCGTATTTATGGCGAGATCTTCAGTTGATTTCCTTCCAAACGAAGGTCCTTTTCGAAGCGGTCGTAAGGCATCGCAATGTAGTCAGCAACCCATCGGAAAGGACTTGACGACAGACAGCCCATCTTCGCATTTTTCCAAACCCCCAAGGGCAAGGCGTAGCTTGTCTGGCTCTATAACATCATGTTCCTTTTATAGAGCTTCTTCGAAGCGTGGACACGCGTTTTGTCGAAATTTTGCAATGGTTTGAAGGAGTGGTGGCAGCCTTCGGTTTTAAATTTACATTTGCAGCATCCCTCTATAAGTTCACATCTGTCTTTGTTGTATTCATGTCTTCTTGAGAAAACTAGACAATTGGTTTTTCTCAAGTGTCTCCAACAGCTCCCGAAGGAGCTTGTTCTCCGCTATGAGATCCTCCTGTTCTTCCGTCAACTGTTCCAGTCTTTCTTTCTGCTTTAAGCGGCACTTATTGACAGCTGCACGGTTCTTCATTCGTTTGTCAAGACTGTGTCCAACTTCAAATTCTCCGTTCTCGGTCCCATTTATGAACTCTGAACCTCGCTCGTGTTTCGCAGCCGCAACTGCAAATCTCCGCTGGGCCCTGCGCAATCTCAGAGAGAAGTTTGGACTTAAATTTCGAGACTTCTGAAGGATCGAATACGAACTGCATTGTCGAAGCTTTTGTGGGACCGAACGTCTCGGTGGATAGGTCTTTTTGTAGTTTTCTTTTTCTGTTGAGCCCTTAGAGTCCTGTCTGTGACAGTGTTTTTGTGAAGCTGAGGATTCGTGCGCAGTATTTTTTTCCTTAGGTGCTGGTGATTCCTCTCGATATGTCTTCCCCCCTCCCTTTGTATTCGATTCGCGCTGATGTGGGTCTTCTCCTGAAGCGAAAGGCGTTGAACTCTCAAGCGGATCGGTTCTACCGGAGATATCCTGATTAGAAGGTGAGAGCGGTGACATTGGTTTGCCCAAGCTCTCATGCTTTGGGCTTTTCTTTTCAGAAACGACAAGTTTACTTGATGGGTCCTGGTCAACTTCTTTATTTGATATTGGAGAATATTCAGCATCTTCTTCCTGCAACAGACTTATATCACGCAATGCCTTTGGGGATTCAGATATCGTGCCATTCTCCATTTTCTCTGTCTTAGGAGCGTCCGAATTTCCAGTACGTTTCAACGAATTTGCTGCTGTCTTCGGGGAATCTGTTTGCGAACAGTTCGTCGCACACGTTTCCGAGGCGCCATTCAGCAAGTTTGATATTTTGATCGTTGCCATAAAGAACAGATTTTCAGGAAGTGCAAATGCACAAGAAGATATGGTGAAGTTTCGTTTTGCGTGAGCTTGCTGAGCCTCGTTCGCTCAGTTGCAAGTCCTTTCCTGTGAAAATGTAGAGTTGGCGATTCTTAATTCTTCTTTGTGCTGGAGACGTGATGCATTGCCCCTCAGCGACGCAAGATTGACGAAAGGCCTATGGATCGTTTTCGAGAACGCGATAAGTCTGGTGCACGCACGCACTCTGGGACGACTGAGTCTTAACACCCAACTGAGAATGGTACTAATGGATTGCGCATGCCCGCAGTTTAGCCACACTGCATGTTCGTTTCTACTGCTTCTGCTCTACTGCTTCTACTATATTTGACAAAGCTGTCTTCTGCTCAGACAAGGAGAATCCATCATCTCCCTTTTGATCCATTTGGAGCAAGTTATGAGGAGGGTGAACTCTAGTTTCGGTCGAGAATGAGATATGTCTACGAGAGCTCAAGCCAACTTGAAGGATGACAACAAAATCGAAGAGCATTCTTCATAGTTTAGTCATGGAAGATCCCGGCGTGCGTCTTCGGCAATGCTTCAGAGCTTTAAGGACAACGCCGGGACGCTGGACCCAGAGCTGAGAAGGTGGATAATGACTGTACAGTGTGCAAGGTTCATAATCATAAACGCCCCACGGAAATTGTTCGAACGATGGTCTATTGCGTGTTCAGGTGGTAGGGCTCTCACAATCAAGGAATATACCATAAATTTGGCTGGCATGGCTTTGTACATGAAATTCATGCAAACGTTTTCGCAGCGAAGGTCCACCACTCTACCGCTATCACTGCAGATCCTTTTGTGCTTATGTAGGGTACCTACACGCTTGGACCCATCAGCCTGCTGATGAAGCTCTTTGTGGCAAATTCCATTTTGGCTTTTGAGAGGCGCTGGTATTTGTATTTTATCGTTGAACCTGAATCTACATCCGTTGTTCTCCACTGGCGCTGCAACACATAGTGCATTTCAAATCTCTTGAGTGTACGACTAAATAAAATGGGTGCACTATTCCGGATTTCTGCTCACGGTCGCACCGCGCCGAAGTTAATACGATCACGACTACCCGGTTCTTGTTACGAGCATTATACTCATGAAAATACGGAGTGCGCTAATGGAAGAGGCGGTAACATATCCAGGCTTCACAAACTGTTGACCAGATATGCATTTCTGCGTATCCGATTTCAATGGCATAGACGTGAGGCATTCATGAATATACGAACCACAACCTCTAACAGCTCCAAGATACGTACAACAGCACAGGGAAGTCAGCGTACCTGACATGGTCGAACACTTCAAGTTTAAGGCGATGCACGTCCTTTTCGTGGTTGTACTTATCTTCTGCTCCGGACAAAACAGTTGTGGAAATTGCCTGCCAGCACATTTCCTTCGTATTCACTTTACATCAAAGGAGGATGGGGTGCTCATCTAGGAGAGCGAAGTATAGGCATGTTTCTGGTCGATGTTCTCTGTTTTACAGCTTTCATGCTGCAAGCCTGTTCCCAGAATTAGTGAGGGCATTCTTTCCAACAACGGAAGGAATTCAAAGGCCACGCCTGCCTTCTTTGAATGAAAACAACTTCAATCGAATGTGCAATGGGGTACACCGTTCCATCATTCCACATTCTGATGATTACGCCAAGCAGGGATCGCAAGTCTTGCAAGGTCTTCAGCATCCATCGCAGGCATAACTTATGTGGTGCTTCCGTCTGTACTTGGATCACGGCGGGGCAGATTCAAAGTCTGCACAACAAACAAAACACTATACCTCCACGTGGGGGCCTCGAAGTGCTTCCCAGTTGTTGTTTGGCTGAAACTGGAGCAATAATAGGGAGCAAAACACGATCATTGCAAGAAAACGGAGAGAGTACTATAAACCAGGAGAGGAATGAAAACGCAGCCAGTGCTACAACCCGTTTTCATCTTGCTCAGAGTGCTTCCTCGTCCAGGAGTTGACATGCACGTAGCATCATCTTTTCCACCATGCCGGGCATTTCTACTCTGTGGAGAACTTCGGCCGTCTCTCTAAGTTGTTCAATGAGTCTCTTCTTTTTCTCCCATCGAATCATATCGTCACTGGCTTCGCCCCTGCTTGCGCCTTCTTCCCTTTCCACATCTTGCTCTGCTGCTCTCCTGTGGTCTTGCGCAGTTCCAGCGATTTCATCATCTGGTAAGTCACTTTCATGCAGAAGCTCGTCAAGAGGCATTGCGTCTATGTCTTTATCTTCGGAACGAGCTTGACCTGCAATCACAGTGTAGGAATCTTCGTCTCGACTCAGGGCTTGGCTACGACTGGGTCGCCGCGCACCTGCTCTCTCTTCCGAGGCTGGCTCAGCACCGCTTGAAGTTCTCGCCTTTGCTGGGGTGCGCCTCTGAGGCGCACTGCGATCGGTTCTCTGGCGTTTTCTGCTGACGCTTTCCGGCGGCTCCTCACTCCTTTCGCGAGCGGGGGTTCGCGAGTTGGCAAGCTTCTCGCGCATTCTTCTGGTGGTGCGCGAGCGGTTGGACAAGAAGTGTTTCGCAGAGGTAGTTGTGACGAGAGCTTCCGTTTCGAGGACTTCATCCCTAAGCTTGCGTAGAGGGCCGAGGCGCTTGCCGTGCGCACGGCGGATGAACTTCATCTTGCCATGGACCTGCATGGGGCGGAGATATTCGCCATTTGCGATCGGGCCGAGGCGACTGGCGAGGCGTCTTGCGAAGCGCTGGCTGGCGAAGTCATACGAGGCTGGAAGGAATTTCTCTGTGTACGGGGCGTAGGCCTGCACTTCATCGCGCCAAGTGACGAGAAGCAAGCGGGAGGCCTCAAATCGCTGTTTGCGTGTGGGGCGGTAGGGGGGCGTGTCGCGATCCGCGTCGTCCCCTGGGAGCGGGGTGATCTCGGTGGTTGCCTCGGAAACGATTTCGGAAGACGACAGAGACAGTTCGGCCAAGGTGGCGAGACGCCGGAAGGTTGTTGCTCTTGCAGTCCGCGGCGGAGGCTTCATGGTCGAGTTGCTCTCCGCGAACGGAACGCCGGAAAAATAATGGTGATATGGGAGGAATTTCGCACGGTTTCGTTTCCGAGGGTTCGCGTAGTGGTGTCACCGGACTTGCCAGAAGTGATTTCTCGTCAAGCCCGAATTCGCCCACTGATGTGCATCCAGCTCGAAGTGCGAACGCAAACAAGGCACGATATCAAGTCGTCCAGTCGGAGGAGAGCTCGGCGCGGAGTTGTACCCGTGTTCTGCGCCTTGTCGTGTCGGGAAGATCTGTCTCCTCTTTTAATTCGTCCACACCTTTTCAAGGCCCATCCATAGAGCCCGTTTCCCGCTTGGCCCGAAAGGTCCATCTCCGAAACTGTTTCACAGACTTACTCAAAGAGAGGGGCAAACCGCGCAGATGCTTTAGAACTCTGTTCTGGGTCTCAGACATGTCGGTTTCCGTGTATCGTTTACATCTCCCCCGCAGCTAGCAACTTCACGTAAAAGGTATATGAGAAGTCCGAGTTAGACTCGAACGTAGTTGCGTAGGAGGATGCAGAGGCGCGATGGCGAGTGTCGTGCGGCAGCGTGTTCTCAAGCCATCTGAAATTTCGGAGGAGACCCTTTCATGGCGAATGCTGATCGTGCAACTGCTTCGGCCGTGCCTCTTCTATAAGTTAAAGCCTTAGCATGACCCAAACCCTAGAAAAGGCGCGTTCGAGTATCTCCACAAGGGCCTAGGATGAAACTCTTGCTATCACTCTTGCGCAGAATCAATACAACTTGACTTTGCCAAAATAAATCGAGGAATTCTGCCTTACCGCAGACGTTTCCGTTGGTTCCTTGGGTTTGCAAAACAATCTTGAACCATCGGCATGTTATGGCAGAGGCGCCCGTGCCACTTACCCGTTAGAAGGACAGAGTCCGTATCTCGTCATTGAAGACACAAACAGAAAGCGGCACTACGTTTTCTAAGCGGAGTATCAATAAGCTGGAGCAAGCGCGATTAAAGCAGGAGCCTACACGCAGATTCGAATTGCGTATTGGAAGGGTAGGATGAGGCTGCTGAAGAGGGTATCGCACGTAATTGCCGAGCATTCCTTTTTATAGTAGTTCGCTCAACGCAGTCAAGTGAACCTCTGGATACAGAAAGTAGAAAATTATTGCCGGCCACACAATGAACGTGTTACCTCACAATGAGCGTGTTACCAGTGCAAAAAGAGAATGCTTTTTGAACAAAGGCCGACGATTGTTGGACATGTTCATTACCTCATTGATCCTTCGTAAATAGCTGGTCGTAAATAGCGACTCTAGAACAGCGTTTGAGAAACAAAGCAATTTCGCTGTTACAGGGAAGTACCCACACAGACTGTGGAACAAAAGTTTAATTGAGACATCAGCTGTGCTTTTTCGTACCATCCCAGTCATGAATGGTTCGTACCAGAAATATTCACGTTGCCAGTGCGAAGCAGCAGATGTCCCTTCGTCTGCCGGGACGGTCGCCACGAGCGGGATAAGACCGCAGTGGAAAGTGCCGAAGCATGGGACTGAGGAATACAGAAGGGGTGCAGAATAGACACCGGGGAGAGTGCGTTGTTCGGTGAGTATGAAGTGTAAGGTAAGAGCTGGTAGCGAGCAGCGAATAGAAGCGTGCTGGCGGGAGCAAGCAGATTACAAGATGCAGGGAGCTTTTCATATCGACAGAGGTGTTTCTTTCGGCGAGAGACTACCATACTGTATTCTGCACTAGCTGCAGCTGAAGTTTTGTGCCATCGCTAAGACTCCATGACGCGAAGCAATTGGTCTGACCGGTGCTTGATCTCCACCTCCATTCTCTCAGCGATCGTTCCGAATACTCAACGTATATAAATTATGTACAGTACCCTTGGTACAATGACTAGAGCAGGATGGTGAAATACTTGCTGATACAGTATGTGGCGTCGACTGTAACAATGGGGCTTGCTGTTATATAGTACTGTACAGTACGGTCCAATGGCCGATTCTGTTGATAGTCATTCGATTCTGTTGATGGTCATTCAATGATCTCAGTCCGCTCATCTATGACAGAGTCACGCCCGCCGTGTTTTTATGATGCACTGCGTCATCCTTGTTGCTGTTTGACTCAGCAAAGCCTCCATCTTGCGCTTCATCTGCGAAAATTTCCTTCGGGGAAGCATGGGGTTCTTCTGACTCCGTGATCTGCTTCTTCAGTGAGCGTGAGCGAAGCTTTCGGTAGAAAGCCTTAAACGACCCAAAGTCCCCAGTGGGACCGAGGACTAATAGCATGGATGGTAGAAATACGAGAGACCAGAGAAGACTCAAGGCGATCGTAGAAACAATCAGGCCTGCAAACTTGAAGAAGAAAACGATAATGGCAGGGAAAAGCATGCACCCCGCTAAGAACGTCGTTAACGCTCCAAACAGAACCGAAATACCCAGATCAGTGAGTGCATCCCTCGTTCTCTCAAAACGTTGCACATTTCTTGACTCTATGTAAGCAGTAGCGATGTGTGCTGCTCCATCAAAACTGTACCCAATGGCGATGACTACGCCGATTGACTCTGTGATTCCTAGTTCCCACCCATACAAGCTGATGAGGCCAAGAAGCATTGCCACGATTCCACTGATTGTCGCTGTGGCGACTATGGCAATGGCCCAGTTCGCCGTGGATATGCACAGTGCCACTAAAGCTACAGCAAGCATGACTGCGATACCAACAAACATTGTTCGCACAAGCGTTCTCTGGGTAATCATGTACGTCCACGAGTACCCACCAGTGGCTATCGCATTTCCAACACTGTCTTTGATTGCGCCCGGAGTTTGGTCGTTGAAAGCATCTAGTTCCCTCTGCCATTCCTCGTAAACAGGAAACATGACTTTGTAAGGCTCAGCGGCCTCCACCGGAGATAGAAAACGGAGCTCGGTAAAGACGATACGGTTCAACTCGTCGTTAAAAGCAATATGCTGGTTCGTCAGATACGGAAGATTGGGTTTCCCACCATCAGTTTCGTGGTTGCCAAAAGCAATAATGTCTTCAATGAGGGCTGCTTCCGTGCTAAACGTCTCGAAGTTGCCGTTGCCCATATCTTCTCTCCAGGTCTTGTATTTCTCTATCCAACATTGGATTCTGTCATCTGCATCAATGGTCTCTTCTTGGAACAGCAAGTTCTTCTTGCTTCGGAAAAAAATGCATGCATTAAGGAGGTGTCGTTGTCCTGCTTCGTTTTTCAGGTCAAACTTCTCGTCGAGAATGGGCGTTCCAGTGTCGGCTGGATCAAATTTGCTCGTGCCTGTTCGGTCTGTGCCCACTATTCCCCAAGTGATCCTCACCTCAAGCTGTAGTGCAGCCTCCGACCGTGGAAAGGCTCGATCTAACGTTATCACTGCAACGCGCAACGGATTTGATTCTGGGAGAAATTCTTCATTTTCACTCGGTGGTTGGAGTCTGGTGGCCAGGTATAAAGAAACAGCCACCAAGACAACCGCAACGCCAAGGAGTATGAAGCGAAAGCGATTTACAGCGTTGGTCCACTTGCCTCGAAACAGCTTTTCAATCGAGCGATACTCATCAACGCCGTTTGCTTCCGCGGCTGGTCGCCACTTTAAGGGCAAACATCGGTGCCACAGGGGTACTCGAGGAGCGCTTTCAGAATTCTCAACTGCCCTTCGAAAACAGTTTGTAATAGGTCTCGCTCTCCAAAACCGATACCATATAACGACTGAGCATGGGTAGATGGTGATGACGAGCAAGAACTGCAAGAGAACAAGGGTACCCGCCCACACTCCCAGTGTGCCAATGGGCATGATGGGAGAGCTGGCCGTGACGAAGAAAGCAGCAGCTGTTGTGATGGAAGTGACGCTCATGGCCTTGGCGGCGCGCCTGTACGTCCAACTCATGCGCGTGACAAGGTCACATTGAGACCCCAAGACGACTACAGACTGCCTCCATGCATCCGTAAAGACGAATACATCATCAGCCCCGATGCCAAGGATGAGAAAGATGACCAAAATCTGTAACGCTGCAAAATAATTTTGGCGGAAAACGACTCTGTAAAAGAAATAGGAGAACGGAAAGGCGAGGAAAATCTGGAGCATGGCCGAGGAGGCGAGGAATGCACTGCTAGTATGGAACCAGATGACGAAGAAGACCATGACGATGGCGGCGATGGAGAAGGATAAATCGCGGACGATGATGGAATTGAAGGACCCATTGACCAATGCGGAACTCGCAAGAAAGACGTCAACGTCCTCGGTGGTGAAACCTTCCGCAAGTTCGGCGGCAGCGGAGGCCCAAGTGTCGTACGCTTTGTCTTGTTCGGCTGAGCGGTCGTCCTCGGTGGCAAACCCTTCGAAAGGGACGCCGATAGGGAAGTAGCTATGGGCGACCCAGGATTCCCGATTGTCTGGAGTGAAGTCGGTGCCAATATAGCTTGAAAACAAAGGTTTAACGAAAAGGTTTCCGTCCTGGTCTCTTTCGACAAGACTATCGATGAAGTCGTCAAATGCGACATCGGAAACTTGTTGATTGCCTTCTTTTCTTCCGCAGAGCCTCCTCTCCTCGCCCTCTCCTGTCCAGCGACCATATAAATGCTCACTCATGAGGACACTTTTTGGGAGGACACACTTGAGAGGGTTCCCGTCACAATCTCTCGCAGAAGGGTCATTGAGGCAAAACTGCCCAAGCTCGGGATCCATCCACAAGACGTCCTCTGCTTTCTTCATAAGGGCGAGACCTTCCTTAGTGAGCAAGTTGGTGGCTTGACTTTGTGTGTCATCAAAGATACCGACCGGTCCGTCCTTGCCCACCCTTCCCCGAAACAAAATGGCGAGGTCATGGTAAAAGCTTGACTCCCCTCTGGACACGGCCGTATCATCTGGCGGGGCGCCCCTCCCTCTATACGGATATCGTTCACGTGCGGCGCGCCTGCCGTCCTCGCGGATACTGCGAATGTCATCGCGGACGAGAAAGTCCCTTTCGGAGGGGTCATCAATGGAGAGTGAGGTGGCAAAGATTACGATGACCAGTGCGACTATGGGGACGGCGCACGAGATTGCGCAGGTCTTCTTGGTATGATTGACGGAAAGGCGCGCCCAGAGAATGGGCTTGACCGAGGCAGCGGAGGCCTCCTGTTCGGCGGCGGTGTGAGCCATTGAGGCGGACGGGGTTGTGGGTGTGTGGTTAAAGGGGTGGACGTGGAAGCGTTATAAAGACGCTGGTTGTGAGTTGGTGAGTGCAGTGCGGTTGGTGAGCACGTGGGAAAAGGGTGACATGGCTGCTGGTTTCATTACGTTTCTACAAACCGTATAGCAGCTTCATGTCGAGATGAAGCTGAAGGGCGGCGCTGCGGGAGACATACAGTATGGGGCAAAACCGTGGCCTAATGGGAGGCGGTCTCTTGACCAGCGGACAGGGCGATGAGAAGAGGAGCGAAGATGACGCAAAAATATTTGGCCACTCCCAACGCACGAGGACGAAGATGACGCAAAAATATTTGGCCACTCTCAACGCACGAGGATGATTTATTTAATATTTATCGAAATACGTACAGTAGGGCCATCTTCCGTTATATTGTAGTCGGTGGTACGGAGCCAGCAATGCCTTAGAAGCAACGCCATGTCCAACAGGACAATAGGAACGTACACGATCTGTACAGTATAAATAAACTTTATAATATTTGGTAAACATGTTGTAAACATGCTCATCAACCCCGATCCATCTGTACAGCAAGGACACCAGCAGACACGGTACTGTATCCAATTCATGTGCTTTTTCGCAGCCGAGTGAGTCGCCGCTTTTCTCATCACTTCTTTGGGCAACCATGAAACCAAAACCAGCCGTGCTTTTCAGTGTTCCCTGTCCGACAGAAATGGGGTAAAGTTTGCTCGAGTAGGTCGCGCCGCAACCTTTGTACGCTATCCTTGCTGCCGGCGCAACATCGAAGAGTTCGCATATACCGCTGTACTGTAGTATCTCTCATTGGCGGACAATTGCGTGCTCTCCCTGTTCTACATGTACAGCATAACTCCAGCGAAAGGCCTACTGTACCCTTCGGTAGTACCTCGCACATTGCTAGCCCCTCACAATGCAGCAGTCTCCGTCTTATGGAAAATTAGTACAGAAAATTTCTTGCTTTTCGAAAATTGGCTACCCAACTCGCCCAGACACTTCAGAAAAAGGCACTTTTCCGGTGGAGCTGCTCAATGGCTCATCGTGCCCTTGCCTATCCTTGTTGTCAACTACAATACTCTTAGCCTTTCCAATTGGGGCACCATTTCTTTAACGTACACGCCCTCGGCAATAACATCTTGCAAATCATCGGGATAGCAGTACTGAATACACAGAAAGACTAAGAATCTAATGCAGTTTCAATACCCGCCTGACATTTTAAACAGGCGTTTTAGTTTTGAAGCTGTCAACTCACTACGTTTTCAAGTTCGTCAAAAAAGCTTCTGTTTCGAACATTCTAAAATGACTGGAAACGACGTGCAGATCTCACCAAACTGCATCCTTTCGCAACGCAAAAGTCAACTACGGTTACGGAGGTCTCTTTTACCATCTTGCTGAGCAACCACAGGTGGAGAGAAATATGTTGATAAGTAGCCTCATATAGAGTCACTTGTCGTCCAGACGTTGCACGTAGTGTTCATCGGACCATTAGTCCTCATATGAGGACATAACTATTTTATTTTTCTAGACGACTCAACGTGATGCGATTTCACCGTGAAATCGCACCACGTTGCGTTGTCTAATTTTCACCCCCTTTTTTTAAAGAACACTAGAATGCCATCACCACATGTAAAAAAATATGTATATATACAAAAGCATTGCTCATCGATTCTAGCGAAACCAACTCGTCGAAGCACATAGAAACGTTCAAGAGAATAAGTTCGCTTACAGCAACCATTTGTCTTAAAGCTAACTCAATAACAGTAGCCAGTCATTGTGTAGAGTTTTGACAACTTCCGGATTTTGGGCAGTTGTTGTTTTAGAAAGTTCCGATGATCCGTATATTGAGGAGGCAGTGCCTCTCCCCTTATATAGAGAATCTTACAACCGCCTGCGGAGTGCGGTACAGATACAGTCTAGAATAGATTCCAACGCACCGACTTTCGGATACGCAAATGCAACTACATTACATTTCGTGTCATACTAAACATTCAAACTAGAAAACACCGCCAGCGGCTACAAGAGTGTTTCCTATTCGGTTCTAACTTGAAAAAATTATTAAGACGAGTCAACCTGCCAAAGAAAAATAGAACCCGTGGACATCAAAGTTGAAAAGAAATAAAATTCGAATATTTATTGTTATGATAACGCTTGGTCGGATAGAGATGAGACACGAGTCTCATCACAAACCAGCATCGAGACCAAAGAGCCTATCTCACGCATTGCACCAGTACAGCAGCTTCTCCAGCGCCTCTCTCTCTCTCTTTTTTTTACTTGCGTTCCAGATTGTACTCACCATCTACGGTATGCCCCTTCATACGATACCCCGTTCCGTTGCTGTTTCAGATCATGACGTGGAAGTTTCGACGAAAAATGCCGTATGCGCACACATGAAAGCAAAATCTCCGTGGCGGGCACATGATCGATTGACATGTTAGTGTGGTCCCATGCCTTTCTTCGAACACTTGCTACGCGGTCGTCCCTCTCAAATACTATTCCTTAGTTCCAGCTATGGTACAGTGCATTGCTTGCAAATAGACTACTCTTCATTCATCTCGCAAGGCCGGAGCCTGTACATACTCGAGGATACTTGTTCTGAAACTTCCTCGAAGAAAAATACAGACCCGTAATTCGAACGACAGCTAAGAAGATCACAAATATTATCACTGACGATTGTGTGGATCAGCAACCTCCCTTCCTCTATTCTTGCTCAGGAACTATACCTATTATGCGTCAAGTAAGACTGAACACATATTTGCTGATGCCCAAGCACTGCGGATGCAGGCGAGGGCGTGTTACAACTATTCATTCCGAGGCGGGAAGAATGACATCTCAAGACTCGTAGATACGCACAACAAGCTGACCACCGCTGAATCCGCATACCAATCCAGAAAAGGACTGTAGAAACGCCTGAGCTGATGTGATGATGATAATGTCATACTTCTCGGTCCTGACGCTTAGCTGCACTCGCCCTATGCCAAGCCACTATCGTACTTGTCGATGTGATTCTGGCCATTCCCATCGAGTATTCCGCAGGCTGGAAATCTGACTCCTCGGAAGCCTAAAGTGTCCCATTTCTAACCTTGGAACATAAACAATCGTTGCAATCAGAAACCGCTTCTTACAGTGCTACCATACCAGACTCCATCCTCTACAAGCTTCATGTCACCCTTCCCAGAGCCCCCCGTCGGTGCAAAAAGCGACAGGGCATCCAGCAAGGAACCTAATCCTCTCTATGTCCGCGTTGACTCTCAGCTGCTGATATCCGCAAGCTTGAGGTTGTCTCGCAAGCCCCAATACCAACGCCCGTTATCAATTTGTGATAACCTTGTCCACGTTTGCAATACTTTCTCTTCGTTAGCGGTCGCCAGAATGCCCCCAGCCTTATCCCACTCCATCTTCACTGCTCTCGAAGCCTTCTGCTCGTTGACGTTCATTCTCGCAAGTCTTTCTGCTGTCCCTGCCTGCAGCTGCCACACCTCTACCGCACCATCCGCTCGGCCAACACCAATGAATCCAGATGACGCCCAATCCGCGCACACCACAGCGTTATCCACGTTCCCTTCTTCATCCTCGTCAATCCGCAAAAACACCTCCCATTCCCACCCAACTTTACCCCTCGCCACGATATCGCCACATGCCACACAAAACGCACCCCCTGGTGCAAAGGATAGGCCTCTGGCCTCCGGAACGTCCCTACCCACATCCACAGCAGCGAGCAGCCCCCATCGCCCACCGTTGTCTGGCGTTTCGTAAAGGCGAAGTACGTGTTCCTCTCCGACGGTCCCCAGGAGTCCGTTTTCAGCAAACGCAACGTCCGTCAGATCTCCAGTCGCATCGCAAAGCACAGTCGTAACTGCAGAAAATTCTTCCCCATCCACCTGTATTTTGTACAATATGGCGAGACCGTCGGTTCCGATCGTCACCAAGAGATCTGGGCACAGCCGATCCGGAGCGAACCGAATAGCGCGCAGTGCATTTTTTTCATGCTTAGTTTCAAAATGCGCAAATGTCACCCATTCGTCGGCACCTGACGCCCGCCATAGACTTATGGTGCCGTCGGCCTGTGCCGTTGCAAGACGAACGCCTGCCGAATCGTAAGCCGTGTCTACTACGTGCGTGGGCGTTTCAGCTCTTGCAATTGATGACAATCTTGGACGTCGTTCTCGCTGAGGTCGAGAGAACATACTCGGGGGTGTGGCGAAGGATGGAGACATCTCGGTTTGAGTCCAAGAAGGATACTGTGAGGTGAGGCGGCTGAGTACATTAAGACTTCTGTTCGAAAAAGTGCAAACTGGGAATCAACGCGGTGGTGTGATTCCGATCAGATATCGAACGAATCGGATCAGGGCCGAATGCGACCGAAACAGGCTTATTCCCGCTGTCCGGAGCTGGACGTGTGTGACACGTGTGCATCCTTACGCTTGCCTGAAAATTTTCAGACGCGTTGTATTCGTGGTCATCTTTGTGGTCTAACAGCAGGCATCGTAGACAACGAGCGTGTCTTCTTGTTATCAAACACATCAAGCGCTGCGGCCCACTCGGCCTCTCGTCAACGGTCGCCTTCTGCCAGGCGTCGAGGCACCTCGCCATCTCTGTTGAAGTTCAAGGTGATGTCGTAGAAATGAAGCGGGCGCGTCCCGCAGCAACCCCTGCCGCGAGCCTGTTCACTGGCGACTCATCCGACTCCGATGAATCCCCGAATCAGCGACGCCGCCTGCCGTCCCCGTCAGGAACCCAAAAAGTAGAATCGGTTGAAGAATGTGTCAGTAGTCCGGCAAACTGCAAACAAACCGAAGCCAAGGGAATAGGAGAAGAAGACACATTGGAGGCTTTCATGAATGATCTTTCTGGCCCACAACCGTCGCGCCTGGCACAGAATAGACAACTCCCTACTCGTCCGCCGCAGAGTGACAGTAGTGAAGATGGGTTCGTTGTTCTTGGGGAAACTATGCCAAGTCAGGTGGATGACGAAAGGGAAGATAGCGAGGACGATTGTGCGGAAGCGCAACGAGACTTCGGGTCGGCCAGGGACCTTTTTCTAGAGCCGATTGATCACTCTCGTAAGCAGTATCCAAAATTGGTACCCTGTCCTTACGAACCACTACCACACCTTGTCGGTGCGGCAAGGGAGGAGCAGTCAAAAAAGCTTGAATCCATGGCAGCAACGGTTGTTGGTGATGAAGATGTTGTGCCTATCGATTCATTTCAAGACTTAGCGCTTGTTCTTCGAAAGGCCCTGCTCGGATCCGTTTTGTCTGCATTTGAAAAACCCACTGCGATCCAACGGGTTTCCATTCCAGTCGCGCTGAGCGGGAGAGACATCATTGCAGTGGCAAAGACCGGGAGTGGTAAGACCGCCGCATACACTATTCCACTACTAACCCATATCTCATTGCAAGCACGCGGGAGCAGCACAAGTGGTAAAGGGCCAAGTGCCTTAATCATTGCCCCAACCCGTGAACTAGCTCTCCAAATCACTGGCGTTGTCAAATTGTTTGGAGAAGGCACGAAAACTGGAGTGCTTTGCGTCGTTGGGGGTCACGCCAAGTACGAACAATTCAAGCGATTGAGAGATAGCGGCGCCGAAGTCATCGTTTGCACACCAGGCCGCCTCATTGATATGGTTAAAATGAAGGCATGTGGGTTTTCACGATGCTCGTTTGTCGTCCTTGATGAAGCAGACCGGATGTTCGACATGGGCTTTGGCCCACAGGTTGATGCTCTCCTATCTCAAATTCGACCAGATGCCCAAAAGCTGTTGTTCTCCGCAACTTTCCCCAGCTCCGTCGCCAAACTCGCGAGCTTCTACTTGCGCGATCCAGTTCGGATAACGGTTGGCAGTGCAGAACAAAAGAGAGACGACGCCAGGGCCAAGCACTCAGAAAAGCATGCGACTGGGCGGATGGCTACAACAGTACCCATGGTCGCAGAAAATGTCACAGAGACATATGTGCTAGTTGAGAATGAGGCTGAACGAGAATCTTGGCTTTTATCACGACTTGATGATCTCATCCAACAGGGCCTTGTTATGGTCTTTTGTCAATCGCGAGGTGCTTCAGCTGCTTTAGCTAACGTCATAAGAAAGACGGGTAAGCCCGCAGCCTGTGTACATGGCGAAACAGATAATGCCGACCGCGAAGGTCTCCTAGATATGTTTCGTTCTGGAGAGCTTCCACTTCTCATTACGACTGATCTTACTGCCAGGGGACTGGACATTTCGAACGTGAAGAACGTTGTAAATTATGGGAGCGCGAAGTCATGGGAATGGCATGTTCATAGAGTTGGAAGAACTGGACGAGCAGATCAGAAAGGAAATGCATACACCATCCTTTGCAGAAAGATGAGCATGGACATTTCGTTTGCGCGGGACGCGGTCTCAGCATTTCGCAAGTCGCGTATGCGAGTTCCGGCTGTGTTAATGGAGCTTGACGTTGCGGCACGCAGGAAGACACACGAGGGAGGAGTTTTTCAAAAAAGATTTCGCGGCAGGAATCGTAACAGACCCAACCGCTGAATAGTGTATCGCTAACGTGTTTGGGGCAGGAAGAGGTGGCCGATATTTAAACCGCATGGCTGTAAGATTGATTTATGACGAGCACCCGTTGTACATATGGTGTGAAGCACTCAAGTGGACTCAGAATGAAGAGTTCTCCGTATTTTGATGTCAGTGCGGCCAGGGACATCGTTTGGATCCTTCCAATCTTTCAAGTTTGGATTGCGGTATTCCAGCTGGCGATACCGGTTTGGAGACGAGAATGAGCCGAGGGTTTCCGGTAGTTTCATTCGCCGTGAGTCATGCGGATTACAATCTCGTACCGGATCTTTCTCGGGGGAGCCCATGACGCATGTGCCGGAGAAGTAGTTGAGTAAATAGCGTGTGTTAAAGAAAGAAGCAATTTTGTCTTTGTCATCTACTCTTGACAATACATCAAATTGGCGAGCAATATCACCGATCCCCCACGGGGTAGCTTCGTAAAGCTTTCCAGCAAAGTGAACAATGAAATCACCTGGGCGATATTCCTCTGTGTACACATTAATCAAATGCTTCGGGACATGCTTGACATGCGGATCGACGTCTTTCTCTTTGAAGAAATCGTTAAACGCCGACTGATCAAGTGCAAGAGCCTTGTCAAATTTGCGGGCGGCGTACACCCGCTCTAGAAACTTGATGTTCCACGGGGAGCATCGAAGGAGCAACACGCCAGCATTTATCATGAACCAGTCATTCGCGACGACGATGTCGTATGCGTCATCAACGACATCGAGCAAGCTCTTTGCTTGATTGACGATCAAGGCATCGGCATCTGTCCATAGCAGCCAGTAATCTGGGCGACCAATGCAGGCGGCAAGGGCAAGCTTAATCTTTCCAAACGTCGGGGCGCGCTTGTCGAGGGCGAAGTCCGTGGATGGTTTGAAACAGTGTTGACCTCGCATCACAGCGCCGTTCTCATCGCAGGACGCTGGGGTCCATAGACCGGATGTCTCGTGCGGGGTGTGGGTGACGAGTTCAAACTTGTGGCGAATGGAGTAGCGGCGCTTGTTGCGCAGTGTGACCTCTGCAAGTTCCTGGAAAAACCAGACGTTGTTGACCATGTGCAGCAAAGCGATACGCGCTGGGGATGTAGACACATCGCTGTTGGGCGTCGACAGAGGTCCAATAGCGAGATTTCGCTTCGCATCATTGTCCTCTCCACTCACCAGGGCAGAAAAGATAAGCAGAGTGGCCAAGAGCACCGCAACTACGCCTGACGCCATGGAGCAATAATTCACCCTAAATGCAACGACGATGAGGCACTGCGGGATAAACCAAAGGTTAAAGTGACGATAAGAGATCGCCAATCGCACCTTGACGACACGGAAAAAGCGGAATGGGCAGTGGGCCGTTGTTGCAGAATCATTCGCGACAGCAGTGCGCGCCGGATGATCCGAACGTGACGTTATCGCGCTATACCTTCTACAAAAAAACGTATTTTTCTGACGATTTGGACGAACATCCAAGAGCGCGCTTTCAGATGAAATTTACCAGAATTCGCCACCAAGTCCCTGTCCTTGTCAGCATACTGCTCTTGTACAGTGCTGCATGTACTCAAGGGTACAGTATCACCGCCCGGTACACAAGCAGTAGATAGATGAGAGGCACTAGATTCTCATCTACAGGTAAATTACTTATCAAAAGGCAACCAGTTTTCCGTGCTGCACAGTGTGCGTGGAAGGGTAGCCGTGGTAAAAGTGATGCCTTCTTTGGCAAGCCCCCCCAGTCACCATTTTTCAGTATTCAAGAATTGTCGACATGTCGATCTCAACTTGCGTTCGTCCGGTAATTTGTCTCCCTTTTTTATCACAGACTGTGCAACGACTGAACGCCCTGCCCGAGTCCATCACCTGCGACCAAGTCACCTGCTTCCGTGTTCGACGACAAGACCATCTCTGCAACCGCTGATTCCAGAGCACCCGTCATTGGAAACAGCAAAGAGCGGGACATGTTCCGTTCTTCCTTTGGAACTGCTGTGATGCCACGAGGTTAGTTTATAGAAAAATCCACTCACTTTTTGCACGTCCAGAGTGCAATATGTCAAGGAACGATGCCCTCCATTCTCTTTTTTTGCGATTGACGTCTCACTCATTCGCATAGCCCTTCACTTCTTGGTGTCGCTTGTGGCCTTCAAGAAAGCCTCTGGTTCCATGTCAACAAATCGAAAAACGGCATTTGCAGCACTCAGTCTTACCAGAGCATCGGCTTCGTCTAGGTCATGCCCACCCTCAACCTCTCCCCAAACTCCCATTTGCCACCTCTCCTCGCTTCTTGCAGCCTCCAGCGCCTGTTGTGCGCTCACCGCTCCATCCCTCAATGCAATTGCCACAGCAATGCTTTTCGAGCTAGCAGCGGCCAGATCCATCGCTGCCAAACTGTAGTTATCTAATTCTCGCACAATTCTACTGAATGTGTCCCTCACTTGATCTGTCTGTGGTGCACTGAGACTACCTCGAGCAATATTCAGCTTGGCATGCCGCTCTTTTTCTAAATGAGCCAAGACAGGTGCGAATACCTTATTCTGAGCTTCAACGAGTTCGGATGGGTAGTCCGGGCGAATGCAGACAGTGTCTGTGTCTAAAAAGTTCAGGGCAGCAGCGAAAATGCGATCGCGGGTGTTCGGTATGACGTCAAGTGCAGTAGAGACAAGGGTTGTGAGAGGCATCGATGCGGGACGGAGGCGCCCGACTTGAGCATCCCATTCCGCGGCAACAGCAGTAGCCAGGGCGCTGGTTGGAGCTGTAAGGGCAGAACGTAATGGAGTGCGAACAACTTTTCCGTCCACAGTGACGGCAAATGATCCGTTTGGCTGTGGAGCTATGTTGACCTCATCATAGAAACGCTTCGGACCAAGCCCGGATAGATCTGCCTGGCGTCCGGAGCCCGGAGACACTTCGGAAGCGTATGCTCGAGTTGCGGAACGCGCGTAAAGCTGGTGCGCCGGCGAGATTGTTCGGAGGAGTGGGCGAAAGCGCAACATAGGACCGTTGGAGAGATGACGATGCGACAGCCGGATTTTGCACGGCTTTTTTGCTTGTCTTAACGCTTCTCACTCCGACAAACTAGCAAAAGGTATTGTCCGGGGAGAGAACATAAGAGCATTGTGCTCTCTCAGGAAGAGTTTGCCGTCGCAGAGCGCAGATACTTTCCGAGAGTCGTCGCCTGTACAGTACAGTGCCTCGCACGTTGTCCCACGCAGCCACGTGTATATGATCATACTGTACAGTACGTCGCAGCAGTGAGCGCACCATCAAATGAAAACTGCAATACTGTACCTTTAATTCAAGACCCCCAATCTCACAAGATGAGAGAGCTACCCTTCACTACCCTTCTTCTTGAAGGGTAGTCGATGTTGCTGAAGTCGATGTTGATATATGGTTAGCTCATGAGAGAAGGTGAAGAGCTTTCCCTACGAAGGTTGAGGCCCATGTTCCGTGAATCACTGAAACGATAAGGCATTTCCGCTTGCACTTTACCTACGTGGCACCAGTTCCCATGCCCTGTACCCTTCGAAACCTCTCAACTCTACCTTTTGCACTGCACACGCGCCCTCACTACCTCAAATAGCTTCCCAAATCCCCACATCCATGTGCCGTCTGTACTCATCGTGCGATAGCCACCTCCATCTCTTCGCTGGTTGTCATTTTTACCGGCAAGTGCCGAAGCTTCAAGAAAAAGAACCATAAGGCCAGCTTCCATCTCGACAATTCTTCCTTCTACCATTTCACCTTTGCCAATTTCACGGTCCTGACTTCCTGCGCGTCGCTAATATTCGTGTAGTCCAGCCCCGACGACGCCCCTACAATGATAGCCATTGCAAACAACGCCTCAGTATCTCGCGTATTCGCGTACAGCTGCCGAAACGCCCTCCACATCTTGATCGGATCCACCGGCCAGAAACGCTTACTCCAGACCGCCTTCTCCCTCCCCTTGGCCCCTTCCTCCCGCACAAGCCCTACAAGCAAATATGCAACAATAATTCCCTCCCCTTGGCGATACTCCCACTGGAGCACACCTACTGACCGATTTCCATCTTCCGAAACGATGATCCCTTTGCTCCCTTTCCGCACAGCTTCGTCCCGTCGGTTATCTTCTGCGGCACCCCACAGACAACTCTCCGGTACCCACTCCCGAAATCCATCCCACGAACGGCCGTCAATCTCCAACCGCAGAGCCGGAACATTAGGCCTAGGATGCGTATCGCTAAATGAGTGACCCTCCGCACGCTGCGGAAAGATCGGCGACGCGCTGCTGATGAGACCTGCTAGTCGGGACAAGGAAGGGTACCCAGCCGGTCGCTCACAATCCTCGCACGTGAACGTATGCTCAAGGTCCGGGCTCATCGCAGAGACCGTGATGGTGGACGCCCATTCGATAATGTCTTGTCCGTCGAGCGGCCAGCTAAGGGCCTTGTTCCGCAGTAGCCCGCACATGATCACACCACACACCCTTCGCACTACCTGGTACATTTCGTTCTTCAGTCCCGTCATCCAGGTGAGACTGCGGCAGCCCTCTTCCATGTGCACATACGTTTGAACCCATTCCTTGGGCGCCGTCTGCCCCGCGACGGGGCCGCCCGCGTGGATCAAGCCCTGGCCGAAGCAAGCGGAGAGGTGTTCGATGGAAATCCACATGCGGGCGAGGTCAGCATGCACGTCGGGCGACAGGACATAGTAGACTGGGTAGACCATGTACGGAAAGATGCCGCTAGACACCCACCGCAGAGTGGCGCGCGGTTTTCGGAACGACAAGATCTGGTCGGTCCACAGGCGAAACTTGCGGCACCCTGCCCGTCGACAGAGTGCGCACACATCTGCATGCAGCGGTGTCCAAGCCGCTGTGTCCAGGTTGAGGATATAGCCTTGCTTCTTGGTGGCATGCCTGTACGACACAACCAGCGAGAGGGTTTCCTCGTCCCCCTGGCCCTCCAAGGTGCCTGCGGCTTCCTCGACGCTTGGCAGAAACGGCACTTCTTCGTCTGCTGCAAACGCGCGTGAAAACCCCTTTTCCATGTCGGACAGAAGTTCCGGGCCAAAGTAGCGGGTGGCATCTGCCAGAGCGGCGCGGCTTCCACGGACCATGTCGGGGATGTCGCCTGTGCCCGTGGGAACTGGGCTAGAGACAGGTTGCTCCGCGGTAAATTCATCTCTGCGAAAGCACATTTTTCCTTCAGCTACGGCGGAAATGTCGGGGTCAGACTGGCGGCAGGTCAAGCGGGTGACAAAGCGGGAGCGGCGGCGATAGATTCTGACCATTTCCTTGGAAATGTAGGGCTGGCGGAAGCGAGCGCAACGGGCGCTCTCCGTGGGAAGGCCGTTGTCATGGGTGACGCCAAGATTGTTGGGGTGTTCGAAATGAACGAGGCCATTTTCCAGGGTATAGGTGGAAAATGTCCAGTCGTGATCAGGGACGGTGAGCTCAACTGGGGCAGGACCTTCGAGCTCTTCCGCGGGGGCGCTGTTCATCAGAGACGAAGGCGCGAAAGGACGGCGCCAGCGGTCGCGGGTGTGCTCACTTGATCATGTGAAGGACGGAATCCCAGGTGCAGAAGTCAATCTGGGTTTGGTGAAGTGAACATCAGAGGAGGGTTCGGCAACACTCCTGATGACAATAGTTGCAATGAAAGAAGGGGTCACTAATAAGTAGGTTCTTAAAAGCTTAAAAGAACCTATGTTTTAAAAAGGCTTTTCAAGTTAAGCCTATTTGAAAGAAAATTGTTTCAGTGCGTTAAAGTCTTCATACTGTAAATAGATTTTAGATTGCCGGTAGAGATGCTCTTAGAGCATCCCCACCGCGTCGATTCTATTGCCGGATAGAAATACAACGTGTACGCTGACCATTCGCCGGTTGCCCGAATTGAATTTTGTGCCTATTCGTCAATCTATTCGTGTGGAATCTATTCGCGTCAACCCCAACGCATATGTTGCAAATCTATCGCTCTATGCCCGCGCAGACAACGGCGAGACGTCACACATCGTCTGCGAAGAGGCGATCGTTCATCGAGACGCCCACCCCTCGCCGTGAATCCCGCGCGGCTGCACGTCTCTCTTCCGCAGCCTGTGCCCTCTTTCCCTCTTCGTCGCGCGCCCTCCCTCGGGTATTGTCCAACTACGCGCTCTCACGAGTTATCATCGCCAATGGACCGGAGAACAGTCCTCGGAAGCGTCCTTCAGTACAGTATATGGACGACAGCGATGGCGATGATGAAAGCATCGTCGCGAGCATGCACAGGTCACGCGCCACCGGAATGCATGCTGCAGCGACGAAGCAGCGGAGGTTCTCGGGCGAGAAGGATGCACAATTGGCCAGAATTCGGCTGACACGCCTGGCACGTGGCATTCTATCGCGGAATCTATTCACCGGATAGAACGTTTTTAGAATCTATCGGCGCTCGGATAGATCCCAAAATTGTTCTATTCGATTTCGGAAAGGGATAGAATTGCGCGGTGGGGTTGAAAATTGTGAGCGGAAATTCTATTGATCAAATAGATGTGCGCGGTGGGGTTGCTCTTAGGCTTCAGGGCCAGTCCTAACAGGCGCTTTTCTTTTCTTTTGTTTTCCTTCCAACCAATTGCGGTCACGCTATTGGCCGGATCATTTCATTAAATTAATCGCACGCCACAACGAATGCTACACAGAACCACTGTAATGCTTGGTAATTCTGCGAACTGGTCGAAATCCATTGGCTAAAGGAAGTACCAATCCACACCCAGTCCATATGCACACTACTAAAATTCCATGGACTCGATGCGGTGCAGTGGCACTTGCAGTACAATGAAAGGGTGGAATTAAATCCAAATACGAGCACATGCAGATCAAAACATTAGTTCTCTCAACATTACAAACCAGACACAGTACCTTCTCCCGTCATTTTATAGAGTGAGCGCTGTAGTCCCCCAAATGTTAACTCGCTTACAGAAGCGTGAGCACAGGAACGGTTCCTCGCGCCCCTCACGGCCTCAAATCGTAGCCGTTTTTGCCGAGTGACGTAAACCAGACACTGTGGACGGCAACCCGGGCAGCTGCAATCTTTCTGACAATACAGAGATAAACATCGATACAGTGACCCCCAAAGGTGGCGACCCGAAATAGGCATAAGGGTCACTGTACCGGAGGGGGTCACTGTAGTGGAGCAGGGTGCAGACGGCGCACAGACCCTAAAACAAAGGGGTGAAGTCCATCTTACAGGCCTGACAACATAAATGGCGAATAAAAAAATAAGTGAAAAATAAGCAAACCGGGACACAAAGCACCCTTGAAATCAACCTTCACCCCTAGCTTCAAGCCCATCCAGGAGCAAAACCGCATTCTCGGTATGTGAAGGCCACTGACGAAACCTCTGAATCAGGGCTGACAAAAGCAGCGAGTACGATTTTTTCTCACCACGTGTAAATCCACAACTCTACAGTACAAGATATACGTGAATGAACGTTACAATAGGATCATGGCAATAAAGTTAAAGCAAACCTCAGAGTCTGCAGCGAAAACAGGAAGGCATCTTACGCAATCACGTTCCGAGATGTCGTCTTCGACCAAACGTTCCCAACCTACCCTTGAAACAAAGCAGCAAGTTTTGCGGCTACTTGGAGCCAAACCAGATGGATCTTTCGGCTCTTCTATCATTAATGAGTCTACAAGTTGCGCATGGACTGCAACTGCTTTGGCAAAAGAGTATTGCGTCTCGAAAACTGCAATATTTAGCTGGAAAAAGCAATCGGCAAAGATAATGGGACAGGAGCTGCGTACTCGTAAGTCCCGTAAGCTTTCGAGGATGAGAGAGGGGACATTTCCGGTTGTGGAAGCAGCTGTTTCAACCTATATGCGACAAAGAATTGTATACATGAATGGAGAGTCTCTCTTTCGCGCCGATGTTGTAGCTAGAACGGCGAGAGATATTGCACAAAAACTGCTTGAACGCCACGAACTAGTATTGGAAGGCGAGCAGTTACCGGATGAAGAAATTGCTGTTTTAAAGGAGAAGGTTTCGGCTTTAAAAGGTTTTAAAGCAAGCTCAATGTGGGTTGCTAACTTCATGCGACGTAACAACATGCATAGTTGCAAAGGTACTGGACAAGTTGGACACTTTGACTCACAGACTGTTTACATGGCTCGTCGTGCAATCCAAAAATCTGTGTGCACAATACCCATTGGTTGCATTTCAAACACGGACGAAGTTGCTGTGCTGTACCGGTCGTTTCCAAGCCGTGCCATTCGAAACGTGGATGAACCAGCGACATACAAACGCATCAAAGATCGCCTCAAGTCACAAAAGAATGCTTGGAATACTCAACCGCTTTGGACTTCTATTGTTGCAGGATTGAACAAGGCTACGCGTATCCAAAGCAGAAATGTTGTCAGTATTGTGGATAATTGCTCGGCACTGTAGTATAATCACCCCCAACGACGAGGGGGGGTGAGTACTGACAGTTCGGAAAGACCCCGATCGGCGGGAAGACAGAAGCACGGCCCACCCACGGTACCGAGCACGGGCTCGAGGTAGCGGTGGTAGAGCGGGATCGGGGAGGACGCGCGCACGCGCGAGCGGTTCTACGCCTCGACGCCCCGGAGCGGTACTGGGTGACGTTCCAGTACCGACGGGCGGAGGCGGAGCCGGCTCGTGGGCGTGCTATGCGCGTCCTCAACCCGCGCGCGGTGCGACTCCTAGGTAAAACGGACGGAAGTACCTAAAAGTAAGCGGGCGGACCAAGGTGGAGGATCCTTGACAAGTCCGTGCTTGTCCCCCCTCCACCGCCGGCGGTCCGCTCATATTTAATGTACACAATTATCTATCATAACACTACAGTACCGATGTACCAGTACCGGTGTGCTGTAGTGGGCTACCGTAGTGCAGGTCGGCCTGCACTGTAATACTGTCAGCCGTCGGGACTGACACTACACGTGTGCGCGCGCGCCCGTACACGTGGGGTACACGTGTGCGCGCGGGCTGAGGTACTGTAGAGCTCGGGCTCTACAACTGCAAATCTAATCTAAATCTAATTCCGTGAGGGGGATATGCCACATGGCCCCCCCCTCAAGTGTGGACGTCCGCGTCCACATGTGCTTGTAGAGCCGACCGTATTGTGCCCCCCCTTCCAGGGACGTAGGCTCCTTCGTCCCTCCGTAACACCGGTCTCCGGTATCGCGTGCCTCCTTTCCGTTTCCTTTCTGTCCTCGCCCACGCGCTTCTTTCGTTGACGACCTCCAAACGCCGAATCTCGGCGACCTCAGACTCTGCGGCCTTCATTCTCACGCGGGCATCTCGATGCATCCGTCGAGAGCGTTCCGGGCGGTAGGTCACCCTCATCCGATGTCTCTTTTCTTGACCATAGCAACGCCTCTGTGCGGGCCTCCCAGTCCTGTATTGGAGGCACATCCGCTCCATCGACCTCACACATCTCAGCCGTATCGAGAAACCTCTCCTCTCCGTCTTTCTGCTTTTGTCCCGGTGGCGTCGTCGTCACTCCTCCGTTCCCTTTGTCCGTCCTTCCCCTTCCCAATCCGTCATACGCGCCGTCTCACCTCCTTTTCCCCACAGTGTCTCTCTTCAGCCCCGAAAAATCGCCCGTGTAGAGGTCATGGTACACGTTGATGGCGACGCTTAAATTCCTCTTCTGTATTCCTCCTACGTGTCGGTGGTGATCGACCGGTTTCCTTCTTTTCTTCACCAATTGGCTCCTCAAGGCGGGAGCATCCCCCTTTCTCTTCTGTCTCCCCTCAACCCCCATCTCGTACTTCAGGGCCAACTCCAGGTGCCGTGCGGCTCGGTGACCCTGACACTAATCGCGGAAGGAGGTTGGCGAACCGTTTTCGTCTGGTGCCCAGACCTCGGTAGTTGGACCCCTGTTCGCGCAGCATAGCATCTCTACTTTCTCCCTACTGGCCCGAAACTTCTCTGCGCGAATCATCAGTGCATCGCACTGCTATTCTAAACCGAATTCCGTGAGGGCAGGGGTTTCCTGGGTATCAGTCGTAGAGGCGACCTTGTCCGCCAGATGTAGCGGGGGTCCGATGTCCTCGTCAATAGCGCGATTGGCGTGATCCCCAATGGGAGCGTTATATTCCAAGGAGAAAAGCCCCTCAGGTGCTCAGGTATTGTACCCTCCTCGTAGTAAAATGCTCTCCTCCGCGGATTGGCGATCCCTCGCATCAGCTTCTCGTCCATATGCCCCCTAGACTAGACGGGCGCGCGGCGTACATGGACGGCGGTCGCTCCGCGTGAGCACGCCTGCATGGGGGAAGCAGCAGTCATGTGGCATTAGCTGGTGATGCGCGTGTGCGCGCCTGCGTGAGGCAACAACAGCGGCGGTAGCTGCGTTGCGCGCCCGCGCGCACGCAGAGAGGGGCGGCGCGAGAGCACGCTGTGCTGCGAGGGCGATCGAGGCGGCGGTGGCGGGCTATGCGCGTGTTATTGTTGGCTATTCTCTGATCGTCCCACCCCATCCGATGGGGTGGGCCTAGGGGGTAC